TGGTTCTGTAGGGATAGATGTCTCTTTCCTATATGAAAAAAAAAAACAGAAACCATGATGGTGAAACGGGGCTGATTTCGAGTTTCTATCATAGGGGACCAATGGGGATATGTCGCAGGATGGGACTGTTGTTAACTGGTACATGTCATGAATCCAATGTCTTTTCATACTTTGGTTGTGAAATCCAACCTATTTCATACAGGATGGTGCCCCCCAGATACGTTTGTTGATTTATAATCCCCTTGAACTAGTTCGTGAACCATACCCCTAATCAACCCAAAAGTGAAATTGGACTTGTAAACCATCTTAGCCAACGAGCTGGGGCCACATCCTGTACTTTATGTTGGAATGTATATTTCAATGGATTGGTTTAAGGGAAAATTTTAACCGGAAAGTCCCATATTTAATGGGAAAATAACTCTGGTTTCCGGTTAAGATTTTCCCTTAAACCAATCCATTGATTATTAGAATGTAGTACTATATCGGTGACAACTTGGAGCAGGTCCAACTAGATTGCCTGCTGTCGCAGGTAGCAGTGGTTGAAACCTCCTACGAAGAACTTCGTTGGGCTTTCCTCCAGGGCTTGGAGGTGGTGATGGTCTGACCATGTCACAAATCACAAGGAACTCAGCATATATCAATGGATTGGTTTAAGGGAAAATCTTAACCGGAAACCATAGATTTTCCCATTAAATATGGGACTTTCCTGCAAATGTTCCCTTAAACCAATCCATTGAATATATGAAAATAGGGGGGGTTACCCTCTGGTAAACTAACATAGCTATGGAAAATCACCATCCTTAAAAGGTAAATCAACTATAAATGTGCCATTTTCAATAGCTATGTTAAATTACCAGAGGGTAACTGTTTAACCACCACAAATGGTGATTTACTCAATTTGGTATCATGAGTACTCACTATGTTGTTCATGCATCGGGATTACCATTTATTATTGGTACAATCATTGAGACTGCATGGATAGGATATACCATGGTTTTTTTTCCTGCGAGAGATGACCAAGAATATCCTGTGCAAAATGCCCTTAGTGATGGTTATTTATTGGGAATCGCACCATTAAAACATGAATGTAGTTGATAAATCGATTATCGGTTGATGATAAAAAAAGGGGTGGTACATTCATTCAGGCGATTCTCATAATCCACGAATCCACTATATAGTTTCTATAGGAATTACATATCAGGTTGTTAATCATTATAGTAATATTTACATATGAAAAATCAGTAAGGAAACCAATCTCCTTTTTTTTTTGCTTATTATGGTTCTTTCCATTTATGGCATCATATCATATGGAATCCTCGTAGTTTGAGCCCTCAAGCCATGGCCAGTTCCAGGGTGCACCTTGCAGCGAATAGCCCCAAAAATAAGTGTAAAACATGGCTGGTTGGTGGTTTGGAACATGTTTTACGGTTAATAGTGGTTAATAGTGGTTAATAGTGGTTAATAGTGGTTAATAGTGGTTAATGATATATCTGGTTGGTGGTTTGGAACATGAATTTTATTTTCCATAATATAATAGAATATAATATATGGGATGTCATCCTTCCCAACTGACGAACTCCATCATTTTTCAAGATGGGTTAAAAGCACCAACCAGTAGTGTTTAAACCCATCAATGTTAAGTACTTTTCCACCATTTTTTGGTGGTACTTGGAGGGTCCAGGTAGAGACTAAAGAAATTTCTGCCAGCTTCGGCGTTAAACACGGCGTCTTGGCAGTACCTCTTTAGGTATCAGGTGGGGCCCCCCGATTAACTGAGTTGCACATCTGCCATACATCCAATCCTTAAGCCAATTGTGGACCAACTTCGCCAATTATATATATATGTAACATACATCAACTATGAATCATCATTGTTTCTCAGTTAAATCCCTACTTTTGCTGCTCAAATACTCAAATCACCATGGTTTTCCTATCCAAACTGCAGGTTCCAGATGCAAAAGCTGCAGCTTCCGCCAGCCAACCTGATGATCCTCCAAAATCTGCGCATGATCCAGCAGTATCTAGCTCGAAGTCTGCAGATAATCCAGCAACATCCAGATCAAAACCTGCAGACAGTCCAGCAACATCCGGTTCGAAATCTGCAGATGATCCAGCAATATCCGGCTCGAAGTCTGCAGATAATCCAGCAACATCCAGTTCGAAACCTGCAGACAGTTCAGCAACATCCAGTTCGAAACCTGCAGACAGTCCAGCAACATCCAGTTCGAAATCTGCAGATGATCGAACAATATCGGCTTTGAAATCTGCAGATAATCCAGCAGTATCCAGTTCGAAATCTGCAGACAGTTCAGCAACATCCGGTTCGAAATCTGCAGACAGTCCAGCAACCTCCGGTTCGAAATCTGCAGATGATCCAGCAATATCCGGCTCGAAGTCTGCAGATAATCCAGCAACATCCAGTTCGAAACCTGCAGACAGTTCAGCAACATCCGGTTCGAAATCTGCAGACACTCCCGCAACATCCGGTTCGAAATCTGCAGACAGTTCAGCAACATCCGGTTCGAAACCTGCAGACAGTCCAGCAACCTCCGGTTCGAAATCTGCAGATGATCCAGCAGTATCTAGCTCGAAGTCTGCAGATGATCCAGCAACATCCAGTTCGAAACCTGCAGACAGTCCAGCAACCTCCGGTTCGAAATCTGCAGATGATCCAGCAATATCCGGCTCGAAGTCTGCAGATAATCCAGCATTATCCAGATCGAAACCTGCAGACAGTCCAGCAACATCCAGTTCGAAACCTGCAGATGCTCCAGCAGTATCCAGCTCGAAATCTGCAGACAGTTCAGCAACATCCAGTTCGAAACCTGCAGACAGTCCAGCAACCTCCGGTTCGAAATCTGCAGACAGTTCAGCAACATCCAGTTCGAAACCTGCAGACAGTCCAGCAACATCCAGTTCGAAATCTGCAGACAGTCCAGCAACATCCAGTTCGAAATCTGCAGACAGTCCAGCCACATCCAGTTCGAAACCTGCAGACAGTCCAGCCACATCCAGTTCGAAATCTGCAGATGATCGAACAATATCGGCTTCGAAATCTGCAGATGATCCAGCAGACGGTCCCACTTCAGCATCTAAATTGGAAGCAACAGCAGCTGTGAATGTCGCAGATCTTAGTCCAACAGCAGTGGCACCAGCATCGCCAGCAGCACCAAGGGTGAAGTCAGCAGCAACATCCAAGGGACCAACAGTTTCTTGGCGAATTTGAGGCATGGAAACATGGTGATTCACCAGCAACAAATAGGGATTTACTGGGATTTGATAGGGATTTATATATAACCATTATAAATGGTATATCATAACTGGTTGGTGGTTTGGAACATGAATTTTTATTTTCCCATTCAGTTGGGAATAGTAACCCCAACTGACTTTCATATTTTTCAAAGGGGTTGAAACCACCAATCAGATAAACAGCACCACAGAGCTGATTGTTGAGAATTTACTATAGCTGTGAGTCATGTGTGCCCATGTTTCTTCACGATGCTATAAACATGTCCTAAAAAAGAGGTTGGTCGTTTTTCTTGGGTTGGTACCCGTTGGTGAGTCGTTACAAATTATAATTCGCTAAACTGACATGAACATCATGATGATAAATCACTATGCGGTATAAATGAAATTGGTATAAGTCAAAATACGGAGGTTTCCTAAAATGGGGGTACCCCCAAATCATCCACTTTAGTAAGATTTTCCACTATAAACCATCCATTTTGGGAATGACCACATTTATGGAAACCCCCAAGTCTGCTTCGTCAAGGGAAGTGCCAGAAAGTGGCTTTACTTCTTCTGCACATCGCCAGGATAGTCCGCAAAAAGGAAACAAAAACCAAACGTCTGGGTAAATTTCATCACGACCCCATTGTCCTCCCTCAATGGAATCATGGTTTAGATATAGGGAAATCATCCCCTTTATAGATTCAGGTTAGTGAAATATTATAATTTACCCAGATGGTGTATTTAATTAGTTTTGAGGTTTCCCAAAGCTTCAGTTCTTTCGGGATTTTCATGGATTTTCCACCATGGTCATGATGACCAGAGGGTAATCATGGCTAATCATATTGAGTGGCTACTTTTGATTAGATTATTTAGCTATATTTACCCTCTGGCACCCTCTGGTAATTTAAGGTAGCTATTGAAAATTGCCATTTATAGTTGATACCCATTAAAAGGGGTGATTTTCCATAGCTATGTTAGTTTACCAGATGGTAACTTATTTTCATTTATTTTCCAACCTTGAATACCTGTTAGGTGGGGTTTGATAGTGTAAGAAACCACCTATGAAGTAGATGATTCTTGGCTCATGGGTACATCATGATACATTGTGATTTCACGTTGTCCATCCGCCAATATGGAGGTTTCCATTGATGGGGGTACCCCCAAATGGATGGTTTATAATGTCAATGGTAATTTCAGGATCCTAAAATGGAGGTACTGTACCATATAAGACTATATTTTGTGGGGATATTCCCTTACATAGGCCTTACATAGGCCTTATATATGGTATGTACCTCCAATTTAGGTTCCTGAAATGTTCATTGATAATGGAAATGTCCTATATGTGTTTCTCTTATCTGGGTAAATTTGATCGCGATCTCACTATGACCGAAGCCTGGAATCATGGTTGGTGACGGTAACTATCCCACTATAGCCCTTATCTTTTTCCTGATTTCAGGATGGTGAATTATTATACTTTACCCAGATATTATATATGGTATGTCATCTAACTGGGTCGTTTCGTATTGGCTCCTTGTCCAGGTCACAATTCCCCGGGATGTTAATGCTGGCTGATTTTCCTGATGACCAACCTGGGGGTTGGTTCCGAAAAAAATCCCTGGGGATTTTTGTTGTGCTTGGTTAAACAACGGGAACAATGGTTAAATATACTGCGAATATACTGGGAATATCGTGGGATATACATATCATAACTTGATCAGGTCACCATAGCGGCACGAGAAAACCCCAACAGCTTCTAAGAGGTGAGCGAGATGTCACCGGAAAGCAACGAGACACGTGGCCAGAAGGCGGTGGTGTTGGGGAAAATCGAGGCTTCTTTGGTGATTTTGTCGACGGTTTCAATGTTTTCTGGGCACAAAACACGCAAGTCGAAGTCAACAGTGGATTTTCCAGCCATGTTTGATTAGTGGATGGTAAATCTGCTTGCACTTTTCCCTATTCAAGTACTTCGGGGTATTGTTTGGTGAATGTGGCAGTGCCATTGGGAAACCTGGCTGAGTCACCTCAGTTTGATGTTACATGTCATGGACCAAGACTGTAGAGTCATCCCTTCCCAATATCCAAAACCCCTAAGCGAAACCCTAGTGTAGGGTTGACTCTTGTGAAAGTTGGGATCCCTTATTGATCGTCCTGGCTTTATATATTTGATACTAGATCAAACAAATAATTGGGCACCAGATGTATCATATCATATATATAGTTTATTATATATAATATTCTGGTTCTCCTTGGGATCCCTTCCTGTCTCCTTGTCTTCTCAGCGCAGGTACGCAAGAAAGCTGCCAGTCCTCCTCCAACGGATGCTCCCAAAAGCCCGGGACGCACCGTGGGGTCGCAGAAGGGACCAGCTACGGATGATGCAGTTCCCACTTCGGCACCGGCTGCGGGTGGTAAACCGAAGATGCCATGGAAAAAGACCAAGGCAGAAAAGGCAGAAGCTGGGAGAAGTGAGGATCAAAGTCCAGCTGCATCCTCGCTCCCCGGGGCATCAACGCCAGCAGAGCCATCAACATCAGCAACAGTGTCGTCAGCGACTAAAGTTTCCAAAGCAGATTCTACCAGAACAGAAGCAAAATCCAAGGGGCCAAAAGCTTCTTGGCAGAGATGTAGCTGCTTGAATGTCTGTTTCATAAATGTGGGATTCCCTGGTGAACGACCTCAAATGATCATGTTGGGACTATGGGACTATATGGGACTCAGGGCGACATGGCTCAACATCAAGAAACCACCAAGAATTGGATGGTTTCAGATCCTTCAAAGAGCTAAAGTGCATCTAATTGTACAAGGTGGTGCCCCCCCCAGTTACAAGTTGGTTTATAATCCCATTAACTATAGATATATCTACCATAAGTCCTAGTTATTAGAGTTATAAACCAACTTAGCTATCTTGGGGGCACCACATTGTAGATCACAATACCTCTTTCTTTTCGGTCAATGAAACCATGTTACATATTGTACCCTCTGGAAAACTCTAACGTAGCTATGGAACATTCCCATTTTTGATAGGTAAATCAACGAACTAAATGACAATTTTCAATAGCAAACTGTTGCCACCTCACTGGCCCTGTAAGCACCGTTAAATCCTACCAACTTGTGGGTAAAACAATGTTTAATAAACCATCCCCCAGTCAGAAAACAATTTTTATAGCTGGTATAAATACACCATTCATCCATTCCCAGTCAGTCATGGCTGGTTTATTGTTTTAGCCGCATGAAACATGTTGGTTGATACCATCTTGATACCGTATCTCCGGCTTCAACATCCCACACCTCGAAAAATATGCCTAGGTCAAGGTCAGCGAGGTGCCTGAAACCATTCCAGTGGCCATATTGGAGGCCAGTTACCTCTGTGTGGAGCAGTTGATGTAAGTGCTTCTCGAAATGTAGTTGGATGTAGTTGGCTGGGCGCGCGCAGAAGGCCGCGTCACGAAACAGTGTTTTTGCTAGTTCACTGCACTGGCGCCACAGCGAGAGCGCACTTTTTCCTTTTTTTTGGTGTTTCGCCTCAGTGAAACCTCTTTTTTTGTCTTTTTTTGTTGTTTTTTTTTGGCGTGGTGTTGGTTGGGGGGTGGGGGGTGGGGGGGGTGGGGGGGTGTAATAACGTTCTTTGGACTTGAACACATCTGGGATGTTATGTCATGAGATCTTTTCTTGGAATTCAACACATCTGGGATGGTACGTCATGAGATCTTTTCTTGGAATTCAACACATCTGGGATGGTACGTCATGAGATCTTTTCTTGGAATTCAACACATCTGGGATGGTACGTCATGAGATCTTTTCTTGGAACTCAACACATCTGGGATGGTACGTCATGAGATCTTTTCTTGGAATTCAACACCAACACATCTGGGATGGTACGTCATGAGATCTTTTCTTGGAATTCAACACATCTGGGATGGTACGTCATGAGATCTTTTCTTGGAATTCAACACATCTGGGATGGTACGTCATGAGATTTTCTTGGAATTCAACACATCTGGGATGGTACGTCATGAGATCTTTTCTTGGAATTCAACACATCTGGGATGGTACGTCATGAGATCTTTTCTTGGAATTCAACACATCTTTTTCCTTGAATTTCCTGTTTTTTTTGAAAACATGAAAAAGGAGATGACGCAACCTTGCATGAGCATGTGTCTTTAGAAGTGTTTCAATGGGCGTGGAGAAACCATGCACTTTTGGGAAAGAATCCAAGCGAGGTTCTCGAGCAACTGTCTCGACTTTTTGCAGATTAAAGGTGGATGAAAATGAAAGTCATGCACTGAAGTAAATACACCTGAAAGTGTCTCAACTGAAGTAGTTTTTTTCGACGTCAAAATATGACACGCCAAGATATGAACATGGACATGTGAAGTTGTACATGCATTTCGAATGGCCAGCGTGGAGGATTTGCCATATCACCATTCATACATTTGTGTCAAAACTGAGATGAAAGTGCACGAAACCATACGGCCATCTATGAGCGCCCGACCATGTAGTTGGTATATCCTGGTAACCAGGTTCTGGTATACCCTGATTTTTTTTCAATGTTCAACAACCCACCTCTGCTGCAGCTCGTCAATTCTCTACACTTCTCTTGCAGGTGCCGAAGACAGCCCGTCGACCTCAGTCCGCTTCCCCGCAACGTGGTCCCAAAAGTCCGGGACGCTCCTGGGGCGCGCGCAAGGCACCAGCTGGAGACGACTCTGCAGCACTTCCCACTGCAGCTAGAGAGGCACCAGCTGCTGCGAATGGCGCCAAACGACAGTTGCCGTGGAAGAAAACAAAGGCAGAGGCAGAAACAGCGGAAACAGAAGCAGCAGAAGCACCAGCACCAGCAGTGACATCACCAAAAACATCACCTGCAGCATCACCTGTGGTCTCACCCGTGGTATCACCGGTGGCATCACCGGTGGCATCACCAGTCGCATCACCAGTCGCATCACCAGTGGAATTATTAGTGCCACTAGCACCTTTGCCATTGGCAGAACCAGAGCCATCAACACCACCAGCACCAATGGTAGCAGAAGCGTTGAACGCAGACTCTCCCAGACCTGCAGAAACAGCATCCGAGCCAGAAGCCTCTCGGCTGAGTCAAAGCCAGGCAGTTGCCTGAAGGATTACGAGATAAAAGGATCCAAATTGATCAGGGAAGAAAACGCTGGATGTTTCCGCTATGAAGTTCGTGCTCAAGACTATTCACCACTGATACTGCATGAAATTGATCCCCAAAAACGGCCTACGGCCTATAGCCATGTTTGTTTTCAATGGAACCGCAATGCCAGAAGTATGTTTATATCACATTTTTTGGTCAAGGAACTACGGCATGTTTTTCGTTAAACAAAAAAGTGAACCTCGGATCCTTAGAGCCCTGGGTTGTTTTTCAGGGGGGTACCATTTTGGAATGAAAAAATAAACCTTTGTTTAATCCCCCATACTTTAGTTAGCTATAGTTGTTGCATACTCTCATGTTTGTTGGTTCTATTTCATATTTGGGCAAGTTATAGCAACATCACCGCTGACTGACCAAAAACCCGATGAATGATGGCTTGTGAGGGGAGCTACAAAATTGGTTTCTGCGACTATGCAGGGGTTAGGAGTGAGCTTAGAAGCTATGGGCTTCCATATTCCTTTTCAATTTGGGAGCCAAGAAGCTGCTAAGAATTCCCCATTTGATAATTTCTAGAATTTGCGGTGATAGATGGAGATGTCCATTGCCGGATAAGATTTTTGAATTCCAATGTCATTGCTTAGTACGGATTTGCATAAAACATCACTGATTACTTGCTATGGGTTCTGGGTTAATCACCTTTTCTTTGAGTAACCCCTTCCCTGAGCACTGCGGAGTACTTTCTCACATATGTGTTTTCCTGTGATCAACATTTGGTTGTGCATCATTCCAGCGTCCTTTGGTTCAGAAATAAACAACTGATTGACCAATAAATGGAGGTTTCCTAAGTCATAGGGGTACCCCCAAATCATCCAAATTTTAGTAGGATTTTCCATTAGAAAAACCATCCATTTTTGGATAGAAACCTCCATATGATCAACACAGACGATGAAGCATTGAAGTCACTCAAAGAAGCTCTTTTGGTGACCCCTTCCTTGAGGGCTGAACCATTAAACACACCCTTCTTGAGAGCTAGACTTGTGCTATTGCGGATTACCAACTAAGATCGACTCACCGAGATTAGAGGGAAACACGAATCAACCAACATATCAACCAACTGGTATTGCACGATATGAGGGGAAAACGGGTGTATTTTTAATGGCTCATTTTGGTTACCCGGCCTGGTAAACATACAAAAAGCTATTGAAAATGGCCATAGAAATAGTTGATTTACCCATTAATAGCATGGTGATTTTCCATAGTTATGTAAACGTTTACCAGAGGGTAAAGTTTGCCTTGGACGTTTAAGCCATCCGTCACTTTGGGAATTTCAGGACCCTAAAATAGAGGAACTGATGGTACTGTACGTACCTGATATAAAGCCATAGAAAGTGGAGGCAGCTCCCTTGAAATTTTGCCCTTCATAGGCCTTAATTATCGATCCTTATAGCCATATACGGTAGGTGCCTCCAAGAAAGTGGCTTGAAATGGCCATTGCACTGGCGATAAGGTAAATGAGGTGAAGGAGGAGTGTCAGCAGCCTGAAAGGCTTCCAGAGGAGGCGACCATGATGGTGTTTCATGGAGGTTTAAACATCCAAACAATCGGGGTGTAATCGATACAACCACGAAACAATGGTGAAATTGACATGATTTAAACATGACTTAACCATGGAAGCTTTGGGAGAATCTGGATAAAACCTTGGTTTTCATCCATGGTAAGTTTGAATGGAGGTTTGACCAGAAAAGACCTGATGGTTGATCCAGAACATTCGGGCGGTTGATGGGGATTCACCACAAAATGGCTAGTAAGCTGGATGTGGTCAGAGTTGGCCTATGACTACAAGGTGGTGCCCCCCCAGTGATGTGAATGTTGGTTTATAATCCCATTAACTAGTTAGATATATCTACCATAAGTCCTAGTTATTAGAGTTATGTTCACCAACTTAGCTATCGAACAGGGGCACCACATTGTAATTAATAACAACGTTTTTGTGCTGCTTGTATGCACAATGGTCGAAACATATCGAAACATGGTATATCGTTTTAAGTCACTCCATGAAATTGGGAATCCCGGTATAAAATTCGGCTATAAATCCACTTAAGTGGGATTATGTAGTTCATCCATATCTTGATGGAAATCCCACCATTTAGGCCACGTGGATTTTCCCAGCAATGTTTGCCGGAGGGAAAACCCCCACAGGGTGGTGCCCCAGCTTGTGAACGCTAAGTTGGCTTATAAAAGTCCAATAATTATGGTTTATAGGTGATATATCTATAGCTAGTGGTGTTATAATCCATTTACAACTTGGGGGGGCACCACTTTGCAGAAGGCTCAAGACATTCCTGGTGGTCCCCACAGCTGCAGGTATGCCATGACCAGTCCCCGACACCTACAAGTTCTTGCCTCAGGGGTGAGCTGGATGCGGGTCAAGAATGGAATAATGAGGTAACCCCAGTCACCAACTGTAACTGTTTTTGGGGGGATGGTATGTAGATATACTTATTTTTCGATGAGATGATGTATGTTTGGAAAAATCCGACTGGTTTCTTGTTGAAATTACATGAAATTACTATCCGGAAGCCCACCAAACTGGTCAAGTCTAGTCTTAAACCACGGCAGAATTGTTAGATGAATTGAACTCATGACGAAATAACTTCAAAATCAAATGGAATCAGCTCTAAGCCATGTAAATTTGGGGCTGAATCATTCTGAGCCAGAGCCAACTGCTGCAATGGACTGGCTCCAGGTGGCACTGGTTGTTCGCTAAGGTGGTGTATTTTTGTAGGTTAATGATGTGTGGTGGATATGTTGGTTCGCCACATGCCACGTGGATCGCTTGGCCTTTGTTTCACAGTGTGGTGGATCCAATGACTGGTGTGATATCGCCAGACCCATGAGACACCACCTCAAAGGGGTTAGGATGAATACACTATGGGAATGTGGTGTTGCAGTACGTCAGAAGAATGGATAGTCACAGTCTTGCTACAAACAGTTTGGCTGCAGCCACTTCTAAAGGGTCACGTAAAGTTGAATGTTTGTCCAGGGTGTGGTACATCACGTTTGCCTTTTAATTTCCAGGCTTCCAACTCTTATACTTTGGGGTTGCTTTACTCCCGTTTAAATATCAACAAACAGAAAAAGATTAAGTAATTGAGTCCCAACTCAGGGTTTCAGGTTTCCAGACTTTCATCTGGAAGTTGATCTGTGAAAAGTCCAGTAAACTTCCAGAGCCAAATGCAGATGAGAATATTGCATCACCAATATTAAGGTCATATTGAAAATGGAAAACAATGATTTTTGGGTATATTTAGATTCCATAACCATTTGATGGGTCACATCAGATGTTTTTGGTACCACCAACCAGACATTCACTGGGCTTGGCCTTGTTGCAGATAGCTGGCGGAAGATGCACATCAGCCAGTGACTTGCAACGATGACGTGGGGATGCGTTGCGGGCTTGCAGGGTTAAGGTTATACAATGTGGTGCCCCCGTTCGATGGCTAAGTTGGTGAACATAACTCTAATAACTAGGACTTGTGGTAAATATTTCGAACTAGTCAATGGGATTATAAACCAACTTAGCTATCTTGGGGGCACCACCTTGTGAAAATGGTGTATTGCCCCCAAATATCCCCAAATGCTACTTTTAATCGGCAAAATGATGATTTGGGGTTATAAAATTCCTCAAGTGGATTTATTACTACTAAAATGGATCAAGTACATTCAAGTACTATATCCCCAAGATATCTCCAAATGGAAAAATTCACCAACGGATTTAGAGCGATACCCATACTGAAAACGGGTCACTGAGGATCTACCCTCTGGAAAAAGAACTCGACTCATAGGTTAGTAATTACATGAGCTATCAACAGCATTCTCTATATCATAAGTCGTGTATATATATATATATGCATTCATTCATTCATTCATTCGTTCATTCATTCATTCATTCATTCATTCATTGATTTATTTATACTATTTTTAATATATATATATATACAAAAAAACTTATAACCCCCTGTTTTGGCTGGGTTCAACCTTCATTTGCCGATTATAAGCCCCACTCGTTCCCAGGTATCGCGATCAGCGGCGGAGGCGGAGTTATGTTGTGATGTGCGTCTCAGTAACGTTGGTAAGAAGTAAAGCAGTTAGATTAATGGGATGTACTGATTACTTATGGCTCATTACAGATTAGTAAGCCAGTTAGATTGGTATGTCAGTAATACCCTAGAAATATATGGGTCATTCGTCACTTACTAGCCGTGATGCACCCTGTGTTCGTATGAATGCGAGGTAGTTCCAGTAGTGAACTGCGCGGCATACAGCGTGCGCAATAAGTTACATCAATAGTCGCTCGGTTCGGTAGTGCCTCAGTTCCTAGTCGCTAACTTCGTGAACATAACTCCAATTTCACTAGGGTTGAATAGGTAGATATATTGACATAGTTATTATGGCACTATGGCTTATATGCCAGCTTATAACTAGGGGGCACCACCTTGTATCATTCATACCTGAACCATACTTCATAGGTACAAGGTGGTGCCCCCCCAGTGATGTTTGTTCGTTTATAATCCCATTACAGTAACTACAGATATATCTACCATAAGTCCTAGGTTATTAAAGTTATAAACCAACTTAGCTATCTTGGGAGCACCACATTGTACCAAAGGCAGGAACCCCAGATCCTTCTGCAGTGGCCTGAGGAAAGGCGGTTCAGTGGAGATGCCATCCGGGATTTTGAAGCAGATCCCACTGGTAACGCAGCGCGTTTCCAAAAACGTTTTAGAAGTTGGCGTTGCGTTGGAATAGCCATGGCAGCCATGTTTATTGTGTCAAATTAGTGCAGGTGAAGTTCCCGTTTGGCTGCTGATTTTTTTTACTTTGGAGGATTCCAGACTTCTTAGGGTGAAAAAACCCTCCAATTTGCTTCCCCTGGTTGTTTTCTTGGTTTTCTCTCCGTTTTTTCCGAGCTTAAGAGGATTATCTCACGATGATTACATGTA